TTTTGAGTTGGAGTCTCACTCTGTCACCCAGATGGGAGTGCAGTGGCCGCTCCCGGCCCCTGCAGCCTCGACCTGCAGGTCTCCAGCGATCCTTCCACCTCAGCCTTCCAAGTAGCTGGAACTACAGGCGCACCACCACACCTGGCTAATTTTTTGATTTATTGTAGAGATGAGGTCTCGTCAAGTTGCCCAGGCGGGTCTCGAACCCGTGCGCTCAGGCAATCCACTTACCTCGGCCTCCCAAAGTGCTGGGATTACAGGCTAAGCCACCGAGCCCGGCCACCACACCTGAGCTTTTGCTCAGAAAAAGCCGAAGCTCTTTTGTGTGCATCTTGATCAGTCATGTGAAGCCCTTAACACAGGGCCTGATATGTGGCCGTGTAGAACATTCGTGAGGCCAACCCCACAGTGGCCAGCTGCTGTTCCCCAGACTTCCTCAGGCTGCTCTCATGACCTGTTCCTTCCGTTGACTTGATTTCACTGCAGGTTGGGGGAGATGGGATGGCCATTGCAGCAGTGGCCCCTGGGTATGCTGGCCCTGGATCCTGCCCTTGGGGGCTGGCGGCTGGGGTGGGGGCTGCATTTCTCTGCCAAGGGTCCCCTGCTTCCTTCCCCAACCCTACAGGTGCGCCTGGAGCGGATTCGCCAGGCAGAGACACTGGAGCAAGTACGCAGCATCATGGACGAGGCACCCCTGAGGGACGTTAGGGACATCAAGGATACCTGAGGGGCCAGGATGAGAACCCACCTCCACCCCGCCCCCACCCTGGGGACGACTGCCTTTCTCCACTCCAGAGCCAGGAGGCCTGGGCTCTGGGGGATCTTGGACAAGAGTCCTTGCCCTCTCCAGGCCTGGGGTTGAGGCGACAGGGCCACCACTGTGCCCCTCCCGTGCCTCCTCCCGGGATAGCTGGGCCTCCTGCTCTCAGGGATGACACCTAGGTGAGGGCCCCAACCCCTCCTGAAACCAAAGGTGCAGGCTCAGGCCTGTGGCTTTTTGGCTGCTGTGCTGCCTCCTGGGCTCCAGCCCTCCTGCGGGCCCTGGCCCTCCTGCCGCCCCCAACCTGCTCCCAGTCTGTTGCGTCCCTTCCCCTGCCCTGGGTACAACCGAGCCTTGGGGGCTGGGAGTCCCCATCAGTGTCGGTGGGGCTCGTGCACTTGGCCCTGGGACAGGCCGCTGCTTTCTGGACTGCATGACACTAAGATGCTTGTCCACAGGAGCCCGACGCAGGCTTCAAGACATGCACAGAGGCGAGCCCAGACTTTTCTGTCATTTATTTTCAATAAATAAGCAGCTCAGTCAGTCGCCTTGTCCCTGCAAGCCCCACAGAGTTGGGAAAGGGGAGGATTTACAAGGTTGAGAGGGAGGCAGGTTGCTGGAGGGGAAGGAGAAATGAAGGGGACATTGTGTTTATAAACAGAAACATGTCATGGGGAGTAGGGGACGGGGGTCTGTGCCACAGCTCTGGCTGAAGATGCATCACTATCAGGTGGGGAAGAAGGGGCAAAAGGACATTTACTTCCTTCTTTCATCTTCTGGATCTGGAAGGAGAAAGAGAAGCAGTGAAGCAGGTGGCGAGGGGTGGAGGAGAGAGAAGTCCCCGCCAGGTGTGTCCCTCACACACCTGAGGGTCACCCATCCCCACTCCTCCCCTACTCACCTGTGTTCCCAGATACCCCCACCCCCACCCACGGCAGCCCCAGCAGCAGAGACAGCGCAGCGCCCAGCCAGCGCCACGCAGCGCAGCGCAGCAGACGCCCGGCACCGCCCAGGGCGGGAGGGCCTGGGAGCCGTGCTGATGCCAGGGGGAGGGCAGCTGCCCGCCCGCCTGGAAGCTCGGTAGTGGCGGCAGCGGCAGTGGCTCCAGGTGGAGCTGCGAGCGCAAGATGTCAGATGTGCAGGGGGCTGGGGGGCGCGGGCGGCGGGGGCACAGCAGCTGGGGCAGGGGCGGGGGGCGATACCTGTGACACGGGTTCAAAGAGATGGAGGAGGGGGAACAGTTATCCTATGGCCAGAGAGGACAAGAGACACTGTTATCAAGGAGGGTGGCAGCGTGGGGGGCCAAGAGGGCTGAGGAGGTGGCGGGCTGCCATGGAGAACAGGCCCCACCAGATGCAGAGGGAGTGGGAAGGGGCCTGGGATGCTCCTGCCTGGGGGACGCGGGTCCTGCCAGGACCAAGAACTTACCCACCTGAAAAGGAAGAGGGCAGGGGCAGGCGTGCGTCGCAGCGCAGGAGAAGGGGACTGTGCTCAGGGCCAGGGCCTTGAGGGGTGGGGAGGGCGCTCCTTACCCTCTAGGTAGTTCCGAGCAACAAACTTGAGGAGTTCGTCAAGCCCGATGACTGGAAGGGAGATCTTGAAGACCATGAGCCACTGGGTGGTGTCCAGGGCCCGGAGCTTGAAGATCATCTGGGTGTGGGGGACAAGTGCCCTCTCAGGAGGAGGCAGAGAGGGAGCCAGGGGACCCACCCGGTATCGGCCCAGTCCCACCTTCATCCCCTTGTCAGTGCTTCTAGTGGGAGTGGTCAGGGGTGCCTACGTGGACTCTTGGGGTGAGGGACAGGGCTTTGGGGCAGTAGAAGCCTCACCGGCAGGGGGTCAACATAGAGGATCAGGAAGTGGAGGGACATGGACAGGCAGATGGAGCCTAACAGCCAGATGTTCACCCAGGGCGGCATCCGCAGCAGGGACTGGTTCTCTGACAGGCTGTGGGCAGGGGGCGAGACAAGAAGGACACAATAAGGAGAGGAGGCCGGTGAAGTCAGGACAGGCAGCGGCCTAGGAAGGTGATGGGAGCCAGCAGGCAGGTCCCACCTGTTGAGCGCGTTGCACATCTCAATGGTCACTAGCACAGATAGGGCCATGGTCATGGGCTCAGGGGCCTCGAAGATCTCACAGTCTACACCCTCAAAGTCAGGGTTTTCCTCAGTGCACTGCATGAAGTGAGTCTGCAGGAAAAGGGACAGGAGACTGAAGTCTCACAGAAGCCCCCATGCCACCCTCCGTCCTCTCCTGTCGTCCCCTACCAGCTGACTGTAGGAGACATGAGGCCCATCTTCCGCGTAGAGGAACCACCAAGCAGCCGCTCCCACAGTGGCTGCACCCACGTAGCCTGTGGTGAACAGAAGGGAGTCAGGGGTCAAGGCTGGGGAGATGGGAGGAGTCAGGGCCTCAAGTGGCCTTGGACAAATGAACAGTTGAGGAAGAGGACTCATGGGGCAGCCACACTGGGGGAGCCGGTATCCCGGAGGGAGTCTCAGTCCCGAGAGCTGGGAAGGATCGTGGGGGTCCCATCCTGCTCACCCCCGATTGCCATGTAGCGGAAGAAGAGCCAGCCGCTGATGAGAGGCTCCTTGGGGCTCCGGGGAGGCCGGTCCATGATGTCCAGGTCTGGTGGGTTGAAGCCCAGGGCTGTGGCCGGAAGTCCGTCAGTCACCAAGTTCACCCACAGCAGCTGAACAGGAATCAGGGCCTCAGGCAGCCCCAAGGCGGCTGTCAGGAAGATACTGCCAGAAAGAGGCGGTCACACATCTATCCTGTCTCCCAGATCTGCGGCCACCCCCCACTCACCCCTGGTTCCTCCTGGATGCCGCCCTGGCTGCTCACCAGACCACCTCGCCCACATTGGAGGAGATGAGGTAGCGGATAAACTGCTTCATGTTGTTGTAGATGGCACGGCCCTCCTCCACGGCAGCCACGATGGTGGAGAAGTTGTCGTCGGCCAGCACCATCTCAGAAGCAGTCTTGGCCACAGCAGTGCCAGATCCCATGGCAATGCCGATCTCGGCCTTCTTGAGTGCAGGGGCATCATTGACGCCATCACCTGTCTGAGGGAGGAGGAGGAGGTGTGGTTCAGGGCACCTTCATACACGCCTCCTTGAGACTCTTCCTCCAGGGCCGGACCCTCCAGCCCTGGGATCCGTGCTCCCAGGACGGTCGTCTCAGTGGGTCCCAAGTTGGCCGCAGCCGCCCGGGCTTCTCACCATCGCTGTGATCTCATCGAAGGACTGCAGGTACTCCACGATCTTTGACTTGTGGGAGGGCTCCACGCGGGCAAAGCAGCAGGCGCGGCGGCAGGCTTCCCGCTGCTCAGCCAGGGGCAGGTCATCGAACTCCCGGCCGGTGTAGGCACGGTCTGTCACCTCTTCATTCTCCCCAAAGATGCCAATTCGTCGGCAGATGGCAATGGCTGTGCCCTTGTTGTCCCCGGTGATCATGATGACTCGGATCCCAGCATCACGACACAGCTGGATAGAGCCCGTGACCTCCTTGCGCGGCGGGTCCAGCATGCCCACCACACCAACAAACGTCAGGTCCATCTGGGGAGCCAAAGCAGAGAACGAGAGGTCAGGGAGGGACTTAGGACATGAGCCAGGGAGGAGCCTGGGTGAGAGGGAGGAATGGGCGACAGGGCAAGACCCAGGAAGAGCCTGAGCCCCGGGCTTGCAGCTCAGGGCCAGGTGTCAGACCTCAGCGGGGCCTTGGGAGCTCAGAGGCAGGGAACAGCTCTTGTTCTTTTATGCATCTGCAGGTCCAGACCGTGTCTTTCATAGAAAGAATGCGAGCTGGAAGTGAGGGCCGTGGCTTCTGCTTTTGGCAGGGCCACAATTGTCCACAACTGTGAACAAATCCCTGCTGCCTGCTAGGCCACAGTCTCTCTATAAAATGAAGGGAGTGGGCTTTGCTGCCATTCAGAATGCCAGTCCACTATGCAGGGGGTGCCTGCACCAGAACGCACATCAGCTGCCTGGAGACAGGCTTGCCAGGAAATGTATCAGCTGGACTCCACAGTGCGTGACACTGATGTCTGTGCTGGGGCAAGCACCTTGCCTGCTCGCCGGCCAGTCCACGATCGCATTTAAAGTAGCATGGGGCTAGATGATCCCCGAGTTTCAAATGCTACCATCCTGATTCTATGGCCCAGCCTACAGAGCCACTGGTTTGGTTGACAAGACGGGAACGGCAAGGGCGGGGGAGGGTGTGCATGGACGGCTGGAAACCTGACTCTTCACCAGCTCAGACAGTGGGGCTTCCATTGGCTCACCTCATACTCCATAAACTTGGTAGAATCATCCAAGATCATCTCCTCTCGCTTGGGGGGCGTGTCCCGGGTGGCCAGGGCCAGGCAGCGCAGTGTGTCCCGGCCCGTACCCCACTCCTTGATCACAGTCATGATCTTCTCCTTCACTGGCCCGGTCAGCGGCACCCGGGTGGTGCCAACTCGCACATAGTTACAGCGGTCGATGACCCCCTCAGGGGCCCCCTAGGAGACCAGAGCAGCATTCCGAGACCATTGCCTTCCTTCCAGGGCATGATGGGCGGGGGGATGGGAGAGGGATCAAGGCTTAGGAAGAAGGGAGGGCAGAGGAACATTCTGATTTCTGACCTTGATGAACATCTTGTTGCCCACAGCAGCCCGGGAAGATTTGGCTGGGGAGCAGTAGACAGACATGGACTTTCTGTCTCGGGAGAACTCCAGGGTGAATTCCTTCTTCATCAGCTGGCGAATCACCTGGGAGAGAGGGGGCAGGGAAGGGGAGACTAGACATCTTAAAACAGTCAGAAGGAGCCGGGCTCGGTGGCTCAGCCTGTAATCCCACGCCTTGGGAGGCTGAGGTGAGTGGATTGCCTGAGCCCGCGGGTTCGAATCCTACCTGGGCAACTTGGTGAGACCTCATCTCTACAATAAATCAAAAATTAGCTGGGCATGGTAGCGCGCGCCTGTAGTTCCAGCTATTTGGAAGGCTGAGGTGGAAGGATCGCTGGAGCCCAGCAGGTCGAGGCTGCAGTGGGCAGGAGCGGCCACTGCACTCCAGTCTGGGTGACA